AAATATAAGAGAAAGAGAGAACTTTAAGAAATTAATATAGCCACTACAGTGACCATCAAAACGATGAAAAAATATTGCCGTAAACAGTTTATTTTGCGAACCACGAAACAAACGACAGCGTATAATGAAACGATAGACGTTTTTATATCGTCATTCGATATATATCGTTACATCGAACAGCCCTATCTTAAGATGCACATTAGGGGGTTACATACACTCACTGCCCACTATACTACATACACTTGCTCAACTGCTTGTTAATGCAAATATCTAATCAGCCAATCACATGGCAGCAACTCACTGCATTTAGGCATGCACAGAGTCAAGTCAAATTGCATAACCAACTCTAGCATTTACACAGAATGGTCTAAAACCGAGAAAATGTTAAGTAAGTGGTGCTTTTCTAGGTGAAAATGTTTTGTTGGTGCCAGAAGACAAAGGAGAATGGACAAACTATTTTGAGCTTAGACTCAAGGCATGCAGAAGAGCGTCGTTAAAAGCACATCACATCAAACCTTTAAACAGATGGAAAATGGGACCAATCCATTACTAGTAATGTGTACCTAATAAAGTGGCCAGTGAGTGTATCTCTTAGCAGCTGGGAAAAGTGAGTCTATCCAAACAGCACCTCGGGCTGTGACAAATATTAGCTACAAAGTGAGGTGAACGTTTTTGTTTTTTAAAAAAAATATATCATATACTGAACTGTTTTACTCAATTATTTTATCAGTTTAATAAAGTTTATTAAAGGTCATCCACACAATTAATTAAAATCAGTGGTTCTCAAAAGCTCAACGTTTTCAGTAACCTAATAGCTTAACCTAATAGTTTTTCCTGGTAATCCCCACTCTCCCACAGTTTGAGAACCACTGATTTAAAATGTGTGTCAGCATCTATAATATTGCTGAAAAACAAAAAGTGTGTCTAGATGGGGGAAAAAAGATTACAAGCATGATGGAGGAAAACATAATGAGCTTAATAAGCTCATTTGGATCTCAGAATGAAACAGTAAGTTGAATAATACATAAAAAAAAGTAAATGACGATTGTAGAAATACCTTGAATCACCATCCTGGTCATCAAGCTCATCCCCAGATGTGTTCAGCACATATGGATTCCGCTGTTTTGCTTGTGGACAGATATCAGTGAGAGTTAGTCATTATGAAAAATACATATTAGACTCATAACAAAAATAAGAACCACTGTGAATCTGACTTCAACTCACTAATCATAAAATTGTGTTAGAGAGACACATGCTTTTACTGTCCTAGTTCGTGTCCCTGTTCCTAGTAAAAGCCTCTCGGCATCAGTACTGTGCCAGTATTTGCCAAAAACACAATTGCTGGTATTTAAACTGCTGTAAATAACTTCACGGCCTACAGTCTCAAAGATATCGCTCATGAATGATATGTCGTCATTCTGAGCGAGAAAGAACAGTCCTATCACAAGGTAGAACTTTTATATATCTCTGAATTATCCAGGTAAAAAGTGTCATTAAAATGCATTTTTAAGAGAAACCTGGGCCAGTCCTGATCTAGAACACAGTAGGTGCAATAACGCTGAGACATACAGATACTGGCAAATCAAGTAAATGCTTTATTTTATATAAAATCCTGTTCGGAAATCTTTTTGACTGCAGCCTATTTCCAATTATAAGAAAGGTTATTAGGCATAAAAGACACACAGAAACAACTGCAATGACTTTTTGGTGCAACACCAGCAACAAGAGGAACTTGTGAATGAACAAAAGTACATCAAATTTATGTGGCACATCCACCAACGACAATCTGAGAGGCCAAGAGGGAAACTTCAAGAAGGAAGAACAAGCAGACCCGATCCTCAAAAAAAAAAAAAAAAAAGACAATCCGCAGTTCCAAAGTCGACAATCACAACAAAAGGGGCTGTTGGTCTGCCCTGGATTACACTGCTGCTTTATTATCTCCTGTAAATCTGTAATTACGTGGAAGCGACACCGGGTTATCTGTGTGTGCGTAAATGTTTATGTTTCTGCTTCATGCTAATGCTACGCCTACCTGAGAGAGATGACGGACACTCGGCGACCTTTTGGTAGGGATATCGGAAAAGGAGTTTGTTCCCTCGGCTTCCAGAGCTAACCAGTATGACGCTAATAGGGCTGGTTTTGTCGCCGCATTTGTATGCACTACTTTGGGACTGAGGGTACAAGGACTTTCGGTCATCTGGTAGACCGACTGACGGGTTGAGCATCATGTTAGCATTCTAGCTAACTCCTCAGTTAGCTTCAAACAGACAGGGAGCGTAATCTTGCTTCACTTCAAGCTTAACACTGGTGTTTGCCATACAAAGACACCGACCAGAGACAAATTATAGCCTAACTAAAGTTAACTATAAAGCCTTGATATTATACCCTACCGCACATCCATCCACCACTGTTGGGATTGTTTTGTGTCACTGTGAAAACTGTTCGGCTGAAACAAAGAGGGCAGATATCATATTCTTCCGCTACTACATAATCTACTGCGTCACTCACTGTGATTTTTCTTTCAGGGAGCGAGACTTTCTTGAATTGTTGTTATTAATATTTTTGAATTAGTCTTGAGCAACAGATACCCAGGCTTTATGAGGGTATTTTGAAGTTTTCCTTTGCACGTTGACTGACTTTTCACTTATTTTTAATCCTTCAGACTAATTTAACGTTGAGCTATGAAGACCCAATCTAAGACATGAACCAGTGCTGTGTCAACACATTACAAATAACCTAAATGAACTCCTAATTAACTACCGCAGATCTCATCAGCATGAAAAGCAAGAAATTACTCTCTGAGTCAGAATAATCACTTTGAGAATCTTTTGAAAAAAAAGTTGTCAGGAATACATAATTTAGAGGATGCATATGCAGGACAACGAGAGCCCAAGAAACCAAATATAGCTCAGAGAGAGCGTTTGTGTGGGACGATGTGGGACATGTTACTAATGCTTCAAGGTGATTGGAAATTGTTGTTTATCTTAATTTGAAAATTATAATATAATAATAGATACACATAAACAACTTTTTGTGTATTCTGTAGATACACAAACAACTGTGAAAGACAATCACTCCTCTAATAAGTCAAAGTTGTTTTATTTAATGATATAATTCATGTATTTATTTGTTTATTCTTATTTAATTATACACTCATGAGTTCGTTTTCTATTGCCATAACTTTCTCTTCTGTACCATTTTTGTGAGATGTGCTAATTTTAATAAAAATTCTATTATACTTTTTTTTATTTTTTAATAAAAAAGTACCTCATAAAGTGCCACACCAGGTCGCTCGATTTTCATGGGATTCCTAAAAAGTATATTTGTAGATGTCAACAAATATTATTTAAGGACAGGGAGACATGATATAGTTGCAATAAACAGATGTTGCCATGCATATGTACATGAATTGAATATATGCACTGCAATAAACACTCATTGGCCACTTCATTAGGTTGGCCACTTCATTAGGTACATCTTGCTAGTACTAAGTTGGACTTCCTTTTACCTTCATAACTGCATTAATTCTTCATGGCATAAATTCAACAAGGTGCTGGAAACGTTCCTCAAAGATTTTTGCATTTGCATGACAACATCACACAGTAGGTGTGTGATCTATGTTGTGAATCTCTCTTTCCACTGCATCCCAAAGCTACTCTGTTGGATTGGGATCTGGTGACTGTGGACCAGTAGGAAAAGGATGACGGATGACGATGGTAAAAGTCCAAACGAGATATCCAGGAACTAAATTGTTTCTAAAACCTATTTTCATTTCTTGTCCATTTTTCTTTTCTTTTCTTTTCTTTTCTTTTCTTTTCTTTTCTTTTCTTTTCTTTTCTTTTCTTTTCTTTTCTTTTAATAATAATAATAATAATAATAACAATTTTTTTTATTTATAAAGCGCCTTTCAAGACATGCACCCAAGGACACTTTACAATTAGATAAAACACATAATGGAAAAATGGAAAAAAAAAATGGAAAAAAAGAACAATAAAACAAAAGCACAAGCTAAAATTAACAAACAGTGGGTTCACAGTGAATATGCAGATTTGAACAGATGGGTTTTGAGTTGAGATTTAAACTGGGGGAGATTCTTTTTAAATCTCTGTATAGATCGGAATATGTCTGAGAACAAAACACAAATAACCTTTTCCCCTGTTTTGCACAGTAATTGTTATCCGCTCTAATTTTAGTTTATCTTAGCTCTATAAAACAAGCTCGTCAATGTCAAATTTTATCCACTAGATGACGCATTTGGGCGACTGTGGGAGCTTTGACTTTAGATCCAGATGAAGATGATGGATGGATGGATGGATGGATGGATGGATGGATGGATGGATGGATGGCTGGCTGGCTGGATGGATGGATGGATGGATGGATGGATGGATGGATGGATGGATGGATTGCACTCTCTTTATTTTCCATTTTGAATATCACGTAAGTATAGGAACTCTGTTTATTCACTTGCATGCATTTAGAGCTGCACTATAATCCCCGGCTGACGCCTGCAGAAATAAAGCACATTTTAACAGTGGTAACTTTGTTTGTTCAAAAATAATGAGGAGATATGCATGAAGATTGTTGTAAGATCTTCTGTCATAAAGTACTAAAAGACCCGGGCACCCGGTGTGTATCAGTTCCAAAACTTTCAACCGCGCCCTCACAATATGTGACACACTGTTATCATTAATTTTAGAAAACCACTCCCTTTTATATCAAACTGTACATTTTTAAAGAAGCCAGAATAACCGTTCTCCGCTGGCAAAGATAAGGAATAAATTACT